CAGCCGTAACCCCAAGATCCCTTGGCTCGACAAAGATCTCCAAGGTGCAATTAAACTCAAATACGACTACTATAGCTTAAGTAAGAAGTACTCCACCTATGCTAATATTTCTTTATACAAAAAACAGCGCAATCTGGTGAAGTCATTGTCACGTTCTAAGTATCGAGCATATTTACGTTCGCTCACTACCACCCTATCTCACCCCTCTTCCAGGCCTAACCTGTATACCTTTGTTCGCACTCAAAGGACAACTAGTACACGTCAAGACATACCACCGTTATTAGCTTCCAATAGTTCGATGGTGACTGACCCCAAGTCTATAGCTAATACTCTCAATACGCAATTCACATCAGCTGGTATTCCAGACGACCATTCCTCTCCAATACCACCTCTGCAACGTTCTGCGACTGTGTCTTCTGATCTGCGCTCTATACATACCACCGCATCATCTGTTCGCAGCTACCTAAAAAGACTAAAAAGCAACAAAAGCCCTGGTCCTGATGCCCTACCAAATGAAGGTCTCAAAGTTCTGGCTCCATCTCTGGCGTACCCACTGTGCCTTATATTCAACCTTTCCTACTCCTCCGGCGTATTTCCTGATCGTTGGAAGATCGCTAAGGTCACGCCCATCTACAAGTGTAAAGGCTCCCGATCACAAGCCTCAAACTATCGTCCAATATCTCTTCTCTGCTCCCTTTCAAAAGTATGTGAAAAGGTATTTTACGACCAGTTGTATTGCCACATTTCACCATGCCTTAGCCCTTCCCAATCTGGCTTTCGGCGCAACGACTCAACCTCTGACCAACTAGCTCGTCTAGTACAAGACATTGCCACCCTTCGTGATGCTCGACATCATATTGCTCTCTGTTTCTTTGACTTGGCAAAGGCCTTTGATACTGTCTGGCATCGTGGCCTCCTTGCCAAGCTACATATTGTCTTTGGTGTGTCTGGCCCTGCTCTGTCCTGGCTGGAGTCCTATCTGAGTAGCCGATCACAGTTTGTTTCTGCCCTCTCCATCAACTCTGATCCTCTACCAGTGTCTTCTGGAGTTCCCCAAGGCTCCATACTTGGACCTCTTTTGTTCGTAGCATACGTAAATGATTTACCCTCTATAGACCCAGGTGTCTCGTTATTTGCTGATGATACAACCCTACTGTCAGCATCCTCGTCCTCAGCGGCTCTTGTACCTCGAGTGTCGGCTCAGATATGCAGTGTCCTACGCTGGATGCAAACATGGCGACTTAGACCCAACCTGACTAAAACCGAAATAATGTTCCTTCCCCCAATCTCATCCATGTCACTTTTACACCATCCTGATTTCCCAGAACCCATAAGGGTTGTTTCCAACCATAAACACCTGGGAATAATGCTTGATGATCGTCTCTCTTGGTCTTTCCATATTGATGCTCTTTGCAGCCGTTCAAGCTCTGCCCTAGGTGTTATACGTCCCCATTGTTTCCATCTTCCTTTCAAATGTAAAATTTTGTTTTACAAACTGTACATCCTGCCTCTTTTCATGTACGCTGCTGTTAGCTGGTGTGGCTTGTCCTCGGTTCTCGCTGAGCATCTCGAAATCCACCATAGAAAACTTCTTCGTATCCTGTTTAGTCTACCCCCTCTCTACCCTTCTGCTTCCCTGTATGTCCTTGCAAATGCTTGCCCACTGTCGACCCACCGTCAAAAATTAATTTGCACTTTTGCTCACAAATTTAAACTAGCTCTACATCCTCCTCATCTTAACGTGTATAACTGGTTCCGAATCACAGATGGCTCCCAGACAAGATGCTCTGTTGCCCTCCCCTTGGCTAAAACGTCCTCCCTTGTACGCTCTCCACTCTTTGTTGCTTACTCTGCTTGGCTTGCGCTGCCCGCTACTACGCGCAATGCCAGTACCCTGGACGCATTTAAATCTGCTCACTAGATTCACCATCACCTGTCCCTCCCATGCTTCTCCGTCTTGACCATTACTTTTCTTCTTTTATTCACCATGGTTGGTTAACACCCACATCTCCCGTACTGGCTGATTTTCTTCTCATGCCATGAGGTGTTGTCTATAATAATAATAATAATAATAATAACTCTCTCTCTCTCGCACACAACGTCAGAGCTGATGTTCTTCATATTATATGCCGCTTTGGTGCACACTCCAAACTAGAAACCAACCAGTTTCAACGGATTCAGCAACTAGTAGTTCATGGCGACTCTTGCAACCTAATGTATATGTAGGACTCAGTGAGCAGTCACGTCTCGATGACCGATCACGATCCCCGTGACCAATCAAACAGTCACAAATCCCCGAAGAGCAGTCATAAAGTCACACACCAGTTTGAATCCCGATGACCAGTCAGAAACAGCCGCGACTTTCTCTGTGAACGGTCACAGTATCCACGTCAAAATATTACGACTCAACTGTAGGCATTCACGCGTTCAGCATACTTTTTTCCTTCACAGGTTTCAGAAGTGAGCAAGAAAGATTTCGATCAACTCTCGATCTCCGCGTAGTTTACTTGTAGCTCGAGTCTGGTGTGTGTGGGCTCCTCTCCAAAACGAAGGGTGGTCGAAAATCTTGCAGGCTTCAGATAGAATCTCTTTTGAGAGGACGTTCTGGCTAGTAGGTTGTGCTATTCATCATATTTGAAGAACAAACTTCGTCGTTCAGAAAAGCTATTTCGGAATATTTTCAGTCATGTAATTTTTGCATGCCGATCTTGCTAGAGCAGAGACTGACTTCAACTGATCCAGCATGCAAGCAGCACTCGATTTGTGTTTTTGGAGAGGATGGGTGACAAGATTACGGAGTCAGAAGTGGACATCGTCGACGATGCAGAGACGAAAATATAATGAAGATGGAAATGAAAATATGTTCATTTCCAAGAAGGTACTGAGTACATCAAGCACCTTCGTGTGTGTAGCTCTGTCTTTCTTGTGGAAGACTCCACAGAAAAACAATGTCCAGCTTGTTGAAACTGAAACTGCCTCTCAGTTGAAGTCGTTCAGGAAGACATCTATTCAAGACATCATTGATCCATTCTCAAGGACCATCGTAAGAAATTAAATCAAGTCATGTTTATCGATAAGAATGGCGAACTAGACCAGAGAAGTGTGAGTGTCTTGTTTTGACTGCAGGAAACTGTAATTCAATATTCTGGCTCAACGTAGTGCTTACGCAGTTTACTGCTTCGAACACATCTTCATTTCTACTCCCAAAATAACTCTGTAAAATTTTATTGGTGCAACATTATGCATCATGGTCTTTCTCGTTGTGCTGCTATAACGTGTATAAGTACATGCATACGAGTACTGTGTACCGTTTACTGTCTCCTTGTCAGTGTTTTTGGGCGATCCTCCACACCTTCATTTGTCTTCCAATTATTAATTTTATAGAAATATTCACTCACTTCAACTTCTTTTGATTGCTGGTGCGAATGTAGCCTGCGATGCCTGCTTGTTAGTGAGAGTGCACCAGACATGTATCGATATGTATGTCTGACGAGATGTTCTTGAACTGGCATGCTGCTTTGCTTAGATAAGGTTTAGAATTGGGTGTTCAATGGCCTGGAGGAATTAATCATGTTTGCGATCAGTATCACCAAGAGTACGGTTCTTCCGTCTACGCATCTCTTCTTGGCTTGTGGATTGGTTGAAAAGAGATAAAATAATAATACAGAAGTACTTGTGTCCAAGTGTCGTCGTGAAAACAAGTTCTACCTCCGTAACTTTGTCCGCAAGGTCACGTGAATCTAGCTGGTAGTCCCGCTGCCTATTTGTGTGTGTGTGTGTGTGTGTGTGTGTGTGTGTGAGTAAGTGTGCGCGCGCATGTGTGAGTGTGTGTGTGTGTGTGTGTGTGTGTGCATGCGTGAGAAAGAGAGTGTGTGTGTGTGTGTGTGTGAGAGAGAGAGAATGTGTGTGTGTGTATGTGTGTTTGTGTGTGCGTGCATGGATGTGTGTGTGTGGATGTGTGTGTGTGTATGTGTCTCAAACTCTCTCTTCTACTCCCCCCTGTCTCGGGGGGCGGCGTGGCCAAGCATTTGGCAGCTGTACACCAGGCCAGGTGTGTGTGTGTGTGTGTGTGTGGATGTGTGTGTGTGTGTCTCAAACTCTCTCTCTTCTACTCTCCCCCTGTCTCGGGGGCGGCGTGGCTAAGCATTTGGCAGCTGTACACCAGGCCAGGTGTGTGTGTGTGTGTGTGTGTGTGTGATGTAGAGAATGAATGACATATGTGCGTGTGTGGGAGAGAGAGAGAGATTTAGAGAATGAGTGTGTGTGTGTGTGTGTGTGTGTGTGTGTGTGCTCGCGTGTGAGTGTATGTGAGAAAAGGGAGAGAGTGTGGGTGTATGTGTGTGTGTAATGGTGTGGGCATGTGTGGTCCCCAGCTCTATTCTATGTCATTCACGCTGGAACTGCTGCTGCATAGCCCCAAGTCTGAAGACTTGGCAACTTCACGCCTGCACCTGACTCTTGCACTATGATACCCGTCGCCTATGATAACCCTCAGAATTTCCCACCTTGCTCCCTCTTATGCTCAGGCTGCCCGTTTAGGAGCCATCAGTTGCCTGACGATCGTAGTAATACGTGAAACTCAGAGTTGTGACAAAGCCTCCAATCTCTCTTGTAATACAGAAATACCTATATTCTGCCTGTGACTACTCACAGAGAAAGAGTGGTCACAACTGTACATTCCGCATGTAACTGTTCGCATGGAATTATAGTGGTCACAACTGCATTCTGTGACCGCTCATAGGGAATTATAGTTTCCACAACACATCCTGCAGTACGAAGCACCCTGCGAGCAGTCACGAACTGTGTACTTTACACATGTACATGTATGGTGATTTGTGACTGGTCATGGGGCATTGTGACTGGTAAACTAATTTGTGACTGGTCATGGGGGGTTTGTGACTGTTTGACTGGTCACGGGGACCGTGATTGGTCACGGGGCCTTGACTGGTCACTGAGTCCTACATATATTTCTAGAGACCACCAGGAAGGATAGAAATGAGTCAATGAAAGGAAACAACAGAGTGCAAGGGAGATTACCGATCACATGAACAATGTGAGAAAGAAAGAAACTGATGGTTACTCTAAGGCACACATCCACAACAATATCCTTGGCTACAAAAATGAAATACCTGATGGTGCCCTCCTGGGAGATAATCTGGAAAGATTTGGAAGGATTCGGAAGGGTATTTTTCTTTCTTTTGCTTAGGTAAGGAGTTGGTGCGGCTGTGTGTAGTAGAGTTACCCGTCATGACCATATGTAGCAACTGCGAATAAAAAGCCGGTTAGATTAGCAACCTCTAGGCCACGTTAGGTGTCTATACATGTATGCCTAGCCATATGAAGTTTTCCGTGTGCTGTTGATATCTATGGATTCTCCACAGGGCTTAAACTAAATCGAGGTAGTCTTCGCCAACAGCTAATGAAGAAGAAAAGGACGAAGAGAAAAAGTGAAAAAAGGATAGAAAGACGCCAGAGGCAACTTGTTAGCAAATATACAGTGCTCTATGACAGCGCTACTCTACGTGGAATGAATCCAGAGCATAGGACAACAGTATTAAAGATTGCGTGCTCTGAAGACGAATGTTGTCTGGATGTTGGCTGTCAGATTGGTTTATTAACCAACTGCTGAACTGGGATAGCCTGTGCGGACAAAAGAGATACATAAAAACATAATGGTAGGATATAAATACTAGCCTTCTGAAACTGTCGAAACGCATTTACATAGTTTGTTAAGTTAATTTTTTGCTTTTTACGGGAACTACAAAACAGAAGAAGGTACATTCACTATTACCATTCTTATTATACGCATTCCCGTGTTGAAGTGCAGCAGCATTATGTTGCGTCCACATTCACTAGTACACGAAATACGCAAGCACTGGAAACCTGACGAGGCAATTCCTACTACATGTATAACTAAAGACAGAAGATAGAGAGAGAGCTGGAGAGATCTAAAGACACAGGGAATCATACAGAGAGAGAGAGAGAGAGAGAGAGAGAGAGAGAGAGAGAGAGAGAGAGAGAAAGAGAGAGAGAGAGAGAGGCGGAGAGAGAGAGTGTTTGAGAGAAACCGTTAGATGGATATATATATGTAGATAGATAGATAGATAGAGAGAGAGAGAGAGAGGCGGAGAGATAGATAGATAGATAGATATAGAGAGAGAGAGAAAGAGAGAGAGAGAGCCGCATTGCTACCACTGTGCTCACTCTGTAGACCTATGGGTATCTTTTGCTTTTGAGGAGAGACATAACATGGAAGTGAACTTGTCCGAAAACGTTTTGAGGGTTTTGCACATACTGGACATATGAGCATTGCTTATCCATTTTTTAACAAATACAACAACGACCTCTTGCGTTTAACAATTGTACTAATGTTCAAAAAACAATCCCGCTGTGTCCGGATTGTTGGGATGCTTACCTCGTTAGCTGAAGACCTGAAGAAGGAGAAAACCAACGGAACCAAGCCACCCACCATAGCAATACCACCGGAGACCCACGCCAGGATGTAGATGCTTGAAGCCTTGCAGTATTCATCAAGCAGATCGGTTTTAAGGAAAGCAGTGAAGCTTCCGGCACATAGTACCAAGAATAGTGCTGCAGAGCCGACAGAGTGTGGAACAAATATTTACAGACATCCCGACATAATGTGGCACACACATGTAGAATGAATTAAGAGAGCATGTCTGAGAAAACCAGAACATTTGTGCAGGTCGGAACAATTCAAAATGGGTTTTTTCAAGAAAACCCCAAAAGGATGATCGGAGACCTGTCCTTAGTCCTAGAAGAGGCGTTCTACTTCTCCCGGTGTATAATGTTTGCTAATTTAGGACGTAGCTCGCTGTTTTTATCAGCGCTTGTAATTAGGCTATTTTCAAGACGATCATTTGTGGCGTCAAGGGATGATGGCCCTCGTCTTCTGGGATGCTGACGTGGCTAAGTGGTGCTGCCCGAAGAACTCTTCTAAGGTGAGGTAATTTTGGCTTGATGGAGTTTTGTGCGTAGCTTGTTCTTGTACGCTGTGCCGTGGCTCGTTTGTACTCGAGGTAGACCCATAAAATTAATCTTGCCAATATCGGGCCAATATTAAGGGTATGCCAATTTCACGGTTCCCTTCAAAAGATTTTGATCAGGCTTTGGAATGTCAATCTACACTCCAAAGCAAACCTACCTGTAAATTTGAGCGAAATTTGAGAGATTGACTTGCACAAAATTTCTGGTTTTCTCAGACATCCTCTCTTAAACAAAATCAGTAATAGAGGGTCAGAAAGTTTAAACGCCACTCGCTGCAGACACCATACCACCACCCTCGGCAGGAGAGTGATTGAATGGAAACAAAAAAGTATAATTATATTTTTACGAGTATCCGTGTCTATCCTCGTTATTGCGACAACATTAGACAACACGTATTAGAAGACACAACGCTCAGTGTTCGAGTATGCGGACAGGCTGCAGACGCCTTTCAATCTGGCATTGGCACACCATAGGGAGATTGCCTGAGCCCTGTCCTGTTTACGTGCTAATTTGAACATGTTCTGCAGCAGTTGAGACACCAGTTCCGAAGAGAAAGTACAGGCCTAGTGCCGTCTATTCCTGAACTTCAGTACGCAGATGATCTTGACTTCCTCGATGAAAATGACCCAAATCTTGAACAAACCCATGACGTATGCGTGCTGAAGATGCCAGAACACCAAGGTGATGGTCAACGGCGTGAAAACTGAACAAACCCACTTTTACCTCGATGCAGACCTGGAAAAAAGAGGGAAAGAGGAATGGCGGATAGCAAAGTCGGTTGGATCGAGAGCTGGTACTGCCGAAGACATCAAACAGCGAATTGTTCTGGCATCGCAGACATTTGGCCGGATGCAAAGCCTCCTACAGTCATCAGGGGTCTCCCTAACGTTGAAGCTGAGGCTGTACAGTTGCTGCGTTCTAAGCATTTTGCTTTACAACTGCGCTACCTGGGGCCTCACCGAGGCACTCAGAACGTCTCTGGACGTTTGCCACCGCCGCCGTCACCTCCACTCGGTACTCCGTATAAAGTATCCAAATATAATCAAAAACACGGAACTCTACAACCGCTGTCGCACCCAACCCGTCTCTAAGGAGATCGCAGCGAGGCGATTGAGCTTCCTGGGGCATGTGGTCCGGATGCCATCAGGGGCGCCGCCACGGGTTGCTCTCGATTTTCCTGCTTCTGGTGCCTTACGGGGAATGAGAGGCAGACCAAGAAAAACAGTGCTAACCACTCTTTCACTGGATTGTCGGGAGACGCTGGGGCTTGTGCTTCAGTCGCGACCTGACCTTGCCCAGCTTCGTAAGGTGGCACATGATAAATGCCGATGGAATTCATAGCGAAACAGCACTGTTAATTATCCTGGCCCTAATGACACGCCTACCCCTGACATGCTTGCCCGCCTACTCTTGGCGGAAATGTCTAACTGTGGCGACAATAATTTTTCATGGACTGATCTTCTTTTTTAGTGTTTGCACACTCTTGGATGCCGCTGTGGCATTTTGTATTTTCGTACTGCTGTGCTCTGTACGGCTGCACTAGCCGTATTAACTGTCATACCCATATGCACACATTCAATCCCCGGCTACGCTTTGGAACTGTTTTCGTTGCCTATGTCCTCATCTCGATTCGTTTGTTTTCGCTGCCTGGGCTCTTATTCATCTTCGCTTGCTTGCTTGCTTGTATTGCTGAGGGAACATATGCTGGTTTGTATTCGTGGGTCCCCATGGTGCATGGGCCACGCGTACTCATCCGGCGGATATATGTGAACAATAATAAAAATATGGCAATAAGTAGGACGAGCTGAAGCGACATGTGGACTACTTTATTAACAATGTAAGCGATGGAGACGATGCAAGAAACAACCCCTAAAGGGTAAGGAAAAAATTCATGTAAGAAGTACCCTTTAGGTTGTTTCTTGCATCGTCTCCATCGCTTACATTGTTAATAAAGTAGTCCACATGTCGCTTCAGCTCCTCCTACTTATTGCCATATTAAAATTATTGTCTCCTCGTCGAATTTTTAAATAATAAAAATAACAATAATATTCCCGTTTGTCTCTTTCCCTCAAACTAGTGAGGAAAATAATAATAATAATAATAATAATAATAATACACAAAGGCACACAATGAAAACATTGGCAAATTTATTCCGTTGTGACTCCGAGTTTCATGGCTGAACCAATCATCAGACAACGATAATGGAATAGGAGGCAGCGCTGGTATATCTAAGTGGAGAGAGGTGTGATAATACGATAGCGAGAGGAGTAATCGCGTGAATGTATACAGGGACGGGCTATTTCAGAGGCAGATGCAGTAGGCGCAGGTCTAGCACTAACAAGTACGCGCTTAATGTCGCTCACACACCACACACACACACACACACACATAGTTTTGTGTCTAGTTGTTGCACTTTCTGACTGTATATAGTATCTAGTTACAGTGGTGGAGAGTTACTCTTAACTAGTTTCCATATGTCCTTTTCCTTTCTAATAATAATACTAATAATACTATTAGAAGACAAGGATTGAAAATCCCGTGACACCTGGAACGTATTTGCCAGTGGTACATGCAAGGTCAAATAATAATCGTAGATAATACTCATTATAAGACAAAATGAATGGGAACCACCCGTGTTGTCTACTAACGAGGCTAGACCTGTACAGTGGCAATGGATTTTTTATTTATTTATTTTATTCTTTTTTTCTGACACAACGATTGCGAAGCCTCCTTTACGGGCAAAAGAAATACAATGGTTGAAAATGCAATACTAACTTAATGCAAACTCAGAAAACCATAAATGGAAATTGGAGTTCTCATACTGTCTGTATGGATGTCCTGGTTGGGACGTTGCTGAGCCTTGACATGCCTTGTGACGGGCCATAAAGCTAACAGAGCAGAGCACACGTTTGACACGTATCCAATCAATGCATCATTTCCTTACCTGAAAGTCCAAACCCTAAGCAAGGTGCATAGACCACGTACTTCTTGAGGTTGTCAGGCCAAAGATTTGGAAACCCCGTCGAAGCTGACAAGCACAAGGCCAAAGCGGAAGCCAAAGCAGACAGTATGCCGAATGCCTGAGCACTCCGCAAGGAGGCTGTGGCTGAGCATAGAAGGACATAGAAAAATGAATGAAAGAAATGTTGAAAATGAGATTACCTGGCCAGAAAGGCCCTCTTCAATATGCTGTGAGGTGTAGACCAGTCTAAAATTTGTGGCAGTCAATTGATCAGCCTTGCAAGCTGTTGAATGGTATAATCCCAAAACAAGTTGCTGTGTCTAACATAGCTTGTTCCCTATCATCTCTTCAGCGATGGGCAGGAGTATGAGTATGAAAAGGGCAATACTGCAATATTGTGTATATGAACATTACTCGGCAAATCACCTTTGCCTAGGTTGTAACTGGCACAAATCCAGTAGTTGGTGTTCAGAATAAGAGGTACATGCTTGTATACACAGTTGGTATGCAACGTCAGTTTTCACCTCCTTCAATGTCATCCTTTCCTTTATTATTGCTCTCACGAAGAAATACAGTCATGATTCACAGCGAATTGGTATTCTTCCAGCTGGGAGTAAATTGCCGTGCACAAGTGGTTATTTAAAGGAATTGGAAGCATGTTCAGCTCTCTAATGTGCTGTTATTGTCATTTCACTTTAGTCCCTGTCAGAGCCATAGATGAGAACGGAACAAAAACCTTTGGTTTAGAGACACTTTGTGTCTGTTCTGGTAGACTGGTGTGGACGACGAAGATACATCAAGTTAACTACATGTAGAGTAACAGTATGTTAGACCAGCGGTGTACTTCAGGAATCTTCAGGAATCTTCAGAAATGCTCAGCAATTATATATCCTATTAATTTTATTCGACACTAACCTTTCAGGAATGCACTCGGATAGCTCAGGCAGATACGCCCAGGGGAAAAAACGTCATCAGTTTGTCCACATCTCTTCCAAAGTCCGAATTCTGTCTCTATATTGTGGTCAAAGGAGATTAACTTGCAAGTGGCCCATTTCGGATGAGCTGAACACATAGAGAAGAAAATGAATATTTTGGATGGATGAATGTAGAAAGTAATTCCACAGAAAGCAACAGTCCTGCAATAAATAACCTCATAATCCATGTTTGATAAAATACACGTAGGTTGACCTTCATTACTAATCGTCGATTTCCATTTTGGTTTTTGTTTATTTTGTTCTACCTTACCCTCAGTTCCGATATTACTCACTGACGAGCGGAACGTGAAAATCGATGGCACAAACAAACAAACACGGAAGTAAAGCTGTGTGGACCCTGGCTAGCGCCAGACGTTACTGAAGTAACGTCTTTTGCATAGCTACGGGAATTAAACTATACTAACTATCCACCTTGCTCTAGCTCGGATATACAATGCCGCTATTTCCAACAATGAGCCTATCTGTATTGGCGACGGGACTCTTACCCCGTTATAAAAACCTGGCAAGGCCAGGGGACCCCCATGAAACCTGCGACCAATAGTACTGTTGATGGTGTTGCGCAAGGTGTTGTGGCTTGTAGAATTGTCCCGTGTAAGCAGAAAAACACGTAAATACTTATCTCTCACCCAGAGCGGTTTCAGGCCTAACAGAAGCATCACGGACGTCATATGGTCCTACCGTTGGTCTATAGCCTGATGCCAACGCCCACAACAGAAGTATGACATTATCGGTATTGACATATCGAAAGCATTCGATACCATCTCACGTCCAAAGCTGATCGATGTTCTTGCGTCATTTCTTGACAACGACAACGTTACACTGAATTCATATCTTCTGCAGCACACCACCTTGCAGGTTCGATTGCCGGGAACGGATGGCATTAAGTTCAAAACTGACAGAGGCACCCCACAGGGGACTCATTATCTCCTGTGCTATTCGTCGTGTATCTAGAAGCAGCCCTGCGGGACGTGCGAAATATCTTACCGATCCGTCCACAACTCGACATCGACCTGCAGCTCCTAACTGACACATCATAATGCTGATGATGTTGACTTTCTGTCATCTAAGGGAACTCACCTCCAATCATGTCTCCCTGCCATTGGGGACACCTTAAAGCAATGGGATTTGACAGTTAACTCCGCCAAGACAGAATTCACACATATAGAGAGGTTCAGCGACTGCATTGCAGAAGAATGGAGGCTGACCCGGAAGCTGGGTTCGCAACTGGGTGACAGGGAAGATATATCTCGGCGTATGCAGCTGGCCAACGGTGCGTTTCAACGGCTTTGCGCACTGTTGGGGTGAGAGAGAACAGACGTGTCAAGCTATACAACGCATTTATCACACCAATACTACTGTACAATTGCGCAACATGGGGAGTCCCAAGCAATCTCATCAAGCGATTGGAAGGATTCCACAGACGTCAATTGCGAACAGTCTTCGGGATCAAGTACCCTCAAGTCATCAAAAATAGCGACCTATATAAACGCACCAACTACCAGCCCCTAGGGGAAACCATTGTGAGAGCGAGGTGGCGTCTCTTTGGCCATGTCCTGAGACTAGACGACGATGCACCAGCACGCGTTATGATGGCAGCATACTTCGAAAACCCAAGTTCCGCTGCCACCTGGCGCGGCCGCCCACGTACCACTCTGCCACTGAGTCTGCACCAGGACCTGAAGCGTATTGGGGGGGGGGGGGGGGGTCACTCAAGAAACGCGAGGAACTTGAGAAGCTCCATGCCATCGCCCAGTCACGACAAGACTGGAAAGACCTATGCAGCAATGTGATAAAAGCATACATCAAAGCCTAATACTGCTTCCACCTGTCGCAGCTACATAGCCGTACGGTGTACCATAACATAACTCATTGACTAACATATTTCGTGAAAATATTATCCTGTAAAAGAATAGAATGTAAACAACATACCTGTGAAAACACAACCTTTAATGCTACTAACACAACCTGTGACTACAATAATCATGAGATCAACCCCAAAACATTTCTTGCAGTTTACTTTCGTAGAGTTTGCGACTTTGCGTTCCTCAACACAACTTGCAGCTTTCTTCAAAAATATCCTCAACCTTGGTTCTGTCCTAGATCGTATATTGATTCATTCATTGTTTCGTCTCATCATCATGGAGCAGCTTATGCAAAGGGTAGCCAAGCTTGCTTGTCGATGCCAACGCGGAAAAGCCTATAATAAAAATAACTTTACTAACTGCTCCTTGGCTCTCCATCCGAGTATCTACTAGCTGCGCTATTCGTTACTCCCACACATAAGGAAAGGTAGGTCTGGAGGTTTGCAGGAACGTGTTCTTGTGAAGATCATCAGTTGCAAAACACGTCACAAAAAGGAATACATGAAAGGACATGTTATTAACATGAATGTAAAACACATGAAGAAATTTAGGTGAAACAGTGTGAAATGGTCACTAACACGATATCTATTGTGTTTGGGTGAAAGAAAAATAAAATGGACAAAAATAGGGGACTGAACTAACGGGAAATATGTTAGTGTAGTAACAGATTCGTAGCGATTTTAAAGTACGAGAAAACAACGCTTTCTCCTCGTGCAAAACCCGGGGGGATGTACGCAACCATTGAAAGTTGTGCTGACAGTCCACTCACTGCCCTATTACTTGTATCAGATCCAAAAGATGTACTGACACGGCATGATGCTAGAACTATCGACGCTGGAGGTTGCCAGAGCGGATGACGGATTCCACATCACTGATGGATATGACAGTACTATTGACTACAAACCTAAGGAGTATCATCACCTACTGGCTTAAATTATGGAGATGAAAGGTTCTCTATGAAGCGGCAAAGTCGCTGCGCATTAGCGCGCTAGCCGGTTTGCCATTTTCCTGCTGTATATGATGACTATATTGTTGCACATTGCGCTATGAATCGTAAGTTTAGATTTTGTTCGTGCTGAAAAGCAGAGAGTGGATGAGGATGAACCCAGAGAGCAAGGCATTAGCTAAACTATTATCTCCCCCCCCCCCCTCCCCCCCACTCCCCCAGCCCGTCGCTGCTTCCAGGTCATACTGGCCGGTTGCATGGCGAGACAAATTAATCTACTCTCTTCAACGCCGGAACGTTAGGTTGTCAATCAAACACACACTCCACATGGAACCAATAGGTGCACAGAATCTCCTTTTTACAACTGCCACATCACGATCATGACTTCCGGAATCGCTGTAACACACTTGGTCGCTCACGTTACTTTCTTTCAGTCCTACAAGTAACAACTCACCGTTTACTGTTACTGCAAGGGCGAAAACAACAGCAGCAAAGCCGATCAGAACGGCGGCCAGCACTGTATTCTTTGCCATGACGCTTGTCGCTAGCAGCACTAACACGAGCGCTTTAGGGAGTCTTGGTCCGCGTCGGTACACAAATACAACTCAGCGAAGCGCCCTGTTCAATTTCGTTGCAAGGTGTGTGGAAAACCGCCGTCTCTGTTCCCTGGTTTTTACCCAACAACCTGAAAATGGATTGGGCAGATCGTATCATACTCTGTACGTTGAACGGCACACAGTAGGCGATGTGAAACAAGGAAGAGGTAGGGAACACTGCACTAATTGACTAGAGTACATGTTCATCGAAACTTCTGTGTAAACCACCCTTTGCCTTTGGTCAGAACGGCAACATTCCATTCTCTTTTCATCGGATAGAAAGTACTTTGTTACGCGCCCTCGCATATTCATCTCCAGTCGTTTGGCCTGCGATACAGTAATTATGTAATCATCTTTATTCAAAGGACCCCCAGAGGCGACGGCCTGTCAAGCTACGGGATCTGCTGATATAGTGGACCTCGGTTAAGTAGCCCTGGGAGGATTTGGTACGCTTTACTGAGGGTATATTTGAGATACTGCATTGCCTCGGGAATGGTTGGGGAATCAGTAAGCACCGGCGGAAACAGATGTAGAGACACATAACCCCATGCGGGACTACATGTGCACTTGTGCACTTCCAAATGTACTTGAAAATTAATTATCTTCACTTGAGTGCCCAGCAAACGCATTAAGAATAGCCTTTGGCGGATTATGCTCGGTAAAATGCTGAAATTTGCTTTCCATGATGCCCAAATTGTGCCAGTGATTATGCTACATTATGCTGGAATTATGCCAATGATGGTGCTATACTGTAACCTTGATTGTCTCACGGGCCAATCAGTTATTGTTGTAAAACTCACAGGGCCGGTGCTAGGTGTGCGAGAGAGGTCGTACGAGAGTTGTGGAGGATAGAGTGGGGAGAACAATGTGTAGGATATAAGAGATGATTAGATGTAGGTCACAGGAACAGGGTGAAACTGTTACATTACTAGTCATTAGCACGCAAGCAGCTAACTTGGATTTAAACCAGACAGAACGCTCAACCAAGACTAGGCGACGGAGCCTATTACCTGTACTCAATCTCCATACAGCTAGCTGTCCTGTTTATGGTGAAAAAATGTTATCGAGCAGGGAGTGGTGCTTTCGTGCAGGTGCTTTCTTGCAGGTTTGCCGAGTGGACGGTTCGATGGACTTCTCATGTGCTCTGGATGGCAGTGAGTCAGTCAATTGAGAATTCAAGTCGGCAGGAAAACCGCGAGCTTCCATGTAGGGAGCATCACACTCTTCCCCTACTATCGCAGAAGCTGCACCAACCTCTTCTTAAAAATATGTTATGTTACCATTATTTGAGTTCACCATACAGGTACATGTAAGTCGAGTGGATTTTTTCGAAACGATCAGTATTAGTATAGAAAGGAGTCCTATCATTTCTGAGACATGTTACACAGACACTGCAGACCGTTGATGCTTACAGGTATCAGCGCAAAGGAAATACCAGCAGGTTCATTGTTGCCATGTAGTCTGTACCGACTATGAAACAGCAACAATATGAATATTATATGATATCAGTTGATGTTTAGCTGTTTACGATTACCCTGCAGTAGGGTCCGGCGGATTCTGCCGGCAGACAAATTGGCAGAATTCGGCACTTTTTCTGGTAAGTTTCATGCATGTTTGGTACGTGGATAAAGAAATGGAGCAGAATTCGAGGAATTGCCCGCCATAAGGTTTGTATGGTTTTGCCAATTTCACTGTTTTTCGAGCAGAATCTGCCACCTTTTCCAGCATAATCCGCCGGTCCCTAGCCTTCAGTGATAACTACAATTACACTCTTCCTTTCATTGTCGAAACGAGAGAGAGAAATAGATATAGATATAGAGAGAGAACTGCATTGCTACCACTGTGCCCACTCTTCAGGCCTACGGATATGTCTCGCTGCTGAGGGGACACATAAAATGGAAGTGCACTAGTAAGAACACTGTAAATTTTTCACATACTGGTAATACGTGTACATTGTACATGTACATGTATGAGCAATGCTTTATCCATTTTTATTCAACAACTGGAGCGTTTTCTAATCGTACTCATTTTCCGAAAACAATAACGCTCCGAATATTGTGTCGAAATCTTTTAAAAAATCTTTTAAAGGGAGCTTACCTCGTTAGATGACGAACTCAAGCTGGCGAAAACAAACTGAACTGCAATTGCACATTGTACATTGCTACCATTATCACATCAGGCGTTTGTACATGTGCATGTAGATTTGCGAGCACTTCTGACTTGTGACTGCTTATTATCTTAATACAGTCGTGGATATTTGCTGCATAAATCGTTTCCTTGTGATTTCTTCTATTCTAATTACTTGTGACTTGGGAAAGATATTCAGTGTCCCTTTTTTGCGCGTAAAATAAGCTCTGACGTCACTTGCTCCAAAGGGATTTTAGATGTACATGTACATGTGCATGTAAATGTACAGTCATGTACATGTACAATGTAGATTTACATGTTTGTACAACATGCAATTATGTAGGACACGTTGTGTGCTCCTTACATAAGAAGAAAAACGCACATGTACATGTAGGTTGAGTGAGGTTTTTTCCACGAATGTACTATTTTCACTACTGTAAACACGTTATTTTCGGTAATTCCGGTAGAGAAACCAGGCACGGAAGTTTAGATTACACCTTAAGGGCACTGGAGTATGCAGTGTACATGTACATGTAGGTGCAGGGAACGCTGGTCACCTAATTCTGCATTGCACCCGAAACCTGGCACCGAACTTTTACTACACCTAAAATTACATGTTAACACAAGCATCTGCATGCCGCACTCACACAACGAGCAACCAGTTTGGGGAATAGGAGGGTTTGTCAATTGCTTTGCCAGGCTCCGAGTGAGTGACAGCTTAGAGCTGTGTGAATGTGTGTGTATGGCAGCTGGGCAGGACCCTGCTGCGGAGGCTGAGTGAGCCGTATGGAGGCAGCCGGGCAGGGCCCGGCTGCGGAGGCTAAGTGAGCCGTATTGAGAGGCTGAGTGAGCCGAGGCTGAGTGAGCCGTCTGAGTGTGAGAGGCTGAATGAGCCGTATGAGGAGCCTGGTAAGCAAGGTTGACTCCCCTCCATGTATTTACAGAGTTTCGCCGGTAGACGGCATCGGTGTAGTTATTGTAGGCCGGTATGATAATGGATACCGACAGGAGAGAACTAGAATAGGAAACATGATGATGACAATAGTGGAGTGGGTGGGTGGGTTGAGAAAGAAATCCACTGCCAATGCGGACAAAGCAAGAACTGAAGTCAGGAACAGTGGACTTCGGAGAACAATTGAGCGCGTGAGAGTTTGTTGGGAACAGAGCATGCGCCTTCTGTGTTAACATATTTTTGCGCGTGCGCAAAAAATCATTTAACAAAAGCATCTGCATGCCGCACTCACACAACGAGCAACCCGTTTGGGGAATAGGAGGGTTTGTCAATTGCTTTGCCAGGCTCCGAGTGAGTGACAGCTTAGAGCTGTGTGAATGTGTGTGTATGGCAGCTGGGCAGGGCCCTGCTGCGGAGGCTGAGTGAGCTGTATGGAGGCAGCCGGGCAGGGCCCGGCTGCGGAGGCTGAGTGAGCCGTATTGAGAGAATGAGTGAGCCGAGGCTGAGTGAGCCGTCTGAGTGTGAGAGGCTGAATGAGCCGTATGAGGAGCCTGGTAAGCAAGGTTGACTACCCAAATAGAGAACCTCCTATTCACTGTTAACTGTAGAGGGGGTGCCACAGATTGTGGACAATAGTAGAGTGATATTGAGTTACTGAGTGTACAGTCGGTACATAGGTGACATTCGGTTATGCTCTGGCACCCACAATAAGTGGGCTCAGTCTGTCTGATCAGTGCTTACCCAGGACCGGTGCTGCCAGCTTTCATGGCAGTTTGCATGTGGACTTCCGTCACTCGGCAGTGCAAGGCACGGCCGAAGTCTCCCCAGGAATGGACGGACGCCCGGGAGTGGGCATGTGAGCGGCGGTAGGGTGGCACGAATGGAATCGCTTGAAATCTTGCCTGGAGAGAGCGTCAGCAAGGATGTTGGTAGTTCCAGGTATGTGACGGGCGGTGACCATAAAGTTACCCTAGGCGCAGATGAAGAAGAGCTGCCGTAGGAGTGACATCACATTAGGGCAGCGACTGTTGCCAGACTTGAGAACAGCGGCGACAGCTTCGTTGTCGGTATGGAAGCGGATACGCTTGCGACACCACTGGTGGCCCCAAGTAGCACATGCAATGCAGATGGGATACAGCTCCTTGAACATAATGCAGAGCGGAGTGTGTTGTGGTGACCAGGTGTCGGCGAACCAATGCGTGCCGTAAACTGCGCCATGCCCAATGGCGCCAGATGCGTCAGTTTCCATCAGGATGGCGCTGGCCAGCGTCTCCTGGAGATCGAGGAAGAATGACTTGCCATTGCAGCCATCGAGTAGGTGAGACCACCAAAGAAGGTCCAGATGACATTCTGGAGAGAGACGGATGTGGTGGTAGGGCTTGGAAACGTTGCGCGTGGCATCATACAGTCGGCGCATGAATGTACGGCATGGCGTGATGACGCGGCTGGCAATGTTCAGCTTGCCCAACAGCTGTTCAAGCTCCCGTAGACGGCAGGATTGGCGTTGGCGAAAGGCCAATAGTCTGGAGCGGATGTCGTCAACCTTGTCCTGTGGGAGACGAGCCACTTTCTGGACGGAGTCCAGTTCGATGCCCAGGAAGGTGAGACAGGAGGTTGGGCCGACTGTCTTTTCATCGGCAATGGGAACTCCCAGGTAGCGGAATACGGAGAGGACTACGTTCAGACGCTGCGCACATAGCGTTGAGTTTGCAGGGCCACAGAGCCAGAAGTCGTCCAGAAGGTGCAGGAGGTGGGGAACCTGGAACAGTTCACAGCTTATCTGGCAAAGCGCGTCCGCAATGCAGTTAAACAAGTAGGGTGCGAACCTCAGCCCGAATGGCAGTACTTTGTCATAGTAGAATTGGCCCTGCCACTGGAAACCCAACAAATGGTATGCAGTGGGTGCGACCGGGACCAGTCGAAATGCATTGCGTATGTCGAGCTTCGCCATCAAGGCACCGGTACCTTGACGTTGCAGAAGCTCAATGGCATCGTCCAATATGACATAATGTAGGGAGAACCAATCCTTGTTTATTCCATCATTGACAGACATACGGTCAGGGTAAGACAGGTGGTGAATGAGGCGGAATTTCCCGTTGTTCTTGGGCACTACGCCGAGCGGAGAGCATACAAATGGGTGGAAAGGCTGGACAGAGAAAGGACCGGCCGATTCGTCACGTCGGACCCGGTCAGCAATTTGTTGTTTTACAAACTCAGCATGTTCAATGGCAGTTGGGAGGTTGCCAGAGATGATAGATACAGAAGCACCAGAGTGGCCAATGGGGAACCCGTGTTGCAAACCATTAAGGATAAAGTCAGAGAGGACACGATTAGAAATACGAGGCAAAAGAGTCATTAGGCGGGCTATGTACAGAGGCATGGGGAGACTACATCGCTGCGACGGGCTTGTCCGTCTGGCGGGGTCCCCGGCGACCGTCGTTGGTGCAGCGAGCGGCGGGATGACCTCGGTCGCCGCAGGTTGAGCAGACGTGCAAGCGTTCACAGGGCTGGTGTTGGCATGGGCGGCCACGGTTGAAGTTGAGGCAGATCTGGCGGGTGCTGCCCGCCCCGGCCAGAAATGGCTGCATAGGACGGCTGGTGTTGGTGCCAGCTGGAGCATGTGGCCCTGCCAAATACTGTGGGCAACGGTCACGGCTGTGGTGCGTTGTGCAGCGCGGACATGATGGTCGGGGTGCCCGGATCAGGTGCAGGCTCCAGAGGCTTTGGTCGATTGCGTCCCAACGAGCCGAGGTTGTTGCCACTGCTGCACGGAAGGCACGGTCATACCCCAGTACAGCTGGGGTCGCAAACTGCTGTTTGGCAGTACAGATAATGTGCTGGTACGTCACCAGCTCCAGTGCTCGGAATGGCACATGTTTCAGTGTGCAGGCCATGTAGATTGTGTAGGCTTCCAGCCAGGCAGTGAAGTCGACAATGGAGCGCTTCTTAGTCACACATAAATTGAAGGACACACGCCGGCCCTCTCCGTTGGCGGTACTGAGCTCCAAGGGCTCGGACCCTGCGCCCACATTCTCTGGGAGGAGATCCTCTAGCTCAATATATTCGCCGCGTGTGATTTTGTCAAGCAACTTACGCGGGACCGTGGGAACAATAGAGCTGGACTCACGAGTGTTCGCCATGGGCGCTGCGATCGGAGGCAGCGCGGGTTGCATGAGGGAAATGTCCATGGGGCCGGAGTCGACCTGCGGCGGGTGATGGGCGACGGTGTTGGACGCGGTTTGGACCACATCTGCCACTGAGGGGACAGCCGCCTGAGCATGGCCGTCCGGATCCTGGCGAGCTGAAATTCGCTCCTCAAGGCGCTCGACTCGAGCCAGCAGGGGGTGCAGGGCCGTCGACACGGCCGCCGTAACGGAACGTGGATTTAGGCCAGTTGTGAGTAAGCTGGCCGGCTGGGGTACGGCGGACGGGATATCGTCCTGCTCCGCACGGGCACTGCCGGAACAATCCGCACGGGCATTGCCGGAAGGATCGGCCGCATGGTCCGCAGGGGCTCGATTTGGAGTGTCGGCATACGGGGACGACGAGGCGCGCCTGCGACTGGAACGCCTGGTCCCGGGAGCCGACTGCTTACGTGCACGGGGCATCTCCGTGAGCTGTGGTAAACCTTGAGATTGAGGTTGAGAAAGAAATCCACTGCCAATGCGGACAAAGCAAGAACTGAAGTCAGGAACAGTGGACTTCGGAGAACAATGAGCGTGTGAGAGTTTGTTGGGAACAGAGCATGTGTCTTCTGTGTTAACATATTTTTGCGCGTGCGCAAAAAATCATTTATACATGTACATGTACATTGATTGTATAACATGTACATGTACACTCCGCTTACAGGGAAGGAAGTGAGTAACATTATTTTACACTCGTAATCCGCTCACACCACACCAGCGACATGGTCGTGTACGTGTACTCATCCACTTTTGTTTCGTATAATTATGGACCATGCGCTTGCTGCAACACTGCCAACAGGGTCCTAGAAAATAAGAAATGTTCGATCACTCATGAGCCCTAGCCCTGCTCCACTCGTTTAGTCATGGCTCGACCATCCTACACGACTCCCCGGCCCCTTCGAGTGCACAGATGATTGTGCAGTGCTATAGTATAGGGCTGCTTAGCGCCCTGCAATATTTTATTCATGAGGTTGGATTGCTTTGGTCAGTACATGTACATGTACATGATTGTACTGTACTTCAGTCATGCACATTACAGGATACGTTTTGACACGTACATTGGGCATGTACATGTACGACATAACATTGTATAATACTAGTACAATGATGTAGGCCGAAGGACGGAAGAGATTCCACAGATTGAGTACAAACATTATCATGTACATGTACATGATTTTTATATAAACAAAATTAATACTAACTTAGAAACCAACTTCATAAAATTAATACTAGTTGAAAACTAGGTTTAGATAAACCTTGTTACGAACACAGTGTCCTCCACCTTGTTTCATGCTGTCAATCTAACAACATGTACATGTACATGATTGTACACGTACATGTACATGTACAATACTTTCCAGTTTCCATGGCGCTTGCACGGTTGTTATGGATACTTTGATGTTCGTGCGTAACACAAACAGTAAAATTGAACCGCAGTCACCAGCGAAGCGGCACCACAAGCCAGAAACAGGCTAGAGCTGCGACTATTGAGAACCCAACGCACACTGCTGCGACTAAGCTACGGTTTGCCGTATTGCACTGACACTCGTGCAGACAAGAAACTGAAGGAATCGTTCAGGTAGCAGCTCTGCCAGAAACAATCAGAGTTAGGTTTTGCAGTGCGAAGGCAGCTGCGCATTTGCAACATAGACACACTGTGAGCGGGGCTGAACTGGTTTCTTCAGGAAGTGCACAGAACTGAAACAATAATTATACTTTAGAGAATATACGATAGGTGTGCATTCAGGAGCAATGCTCTCAGTCTTAAATTATAAATGTTTCCAGGCTACCCGACAAGAGGATGCATTGACTGGAGAGGAAATTGTAGGAAGCGCTCAACCTACTTGTACGTTACCTAATGCTATCTAACAAGTGTGTCAGGTGTCCAGCTAATCTCTACTCTTGTGTAATTACGACATTACCCAGTACTTTGCTTTGGCTGCGTTTTGATTTTGTTTTTCCCGACACAGTGTTGCACGCCCAACGCGCCATAGAAACGGAATTTTCTGCCCCTCATGATGACATACGCGAACGGTCAGTGTTGAGAATTGCAAGTGGCGTTGGATGTTCGCCTATTACTGAACAAACCTAGAGTACAAGTACACATCGCACCATGTGTCTGTGTGTGTGTTCGTGCGTGTGTGCGTGTGTGTGTGTGCGTGTGACTGCGCACAAGCACAAACGCACGCACGAATACCTGCCGGTGCGCAATTCTGTAATAACACGATTACTCAGACAATGATAACAAATACCATTGCAGTGTGTGCTCGTCATCTTGTATGTATGTATGTATAACTCATAATCACAAGGTGATCGTAGAGGGATTAATCAGCGAGAGAATTGTGAATGATGTCTCTGAATCCAACTCTAAAATTAAACGAATTGAAAAGCATATTGAGGTGACAGAGTGGCAAAATGGCATTATAACAAACTGCAGTGTGTTTGACCGAAAGGCTGGCCTTGTGAAAACAACATAGGGTGACAGGCTTTCAGACGGCTTGAAGGGATGTGCGTCGCAAATCCTCAGGCTGGCTCATTGACGAACTTCACGTCAGATACATTCTGAACCAGAGCAAGAAAACAGTGGGCACAGAATGGATCCTGAGTGCAGGTGACTAGGTCTCTTGCATTTGAGAGTTTGATTCAATAGTCACTGGGTTGTGCCATGAAGGTTAACAACAAACTCAGAGCAAGACTTGGATGGAGAGCCAAGGAGTACATTTAAAGGAAATAACGAAAATGTTGGCTGTTGGTTTGCGCATCTAAGGCGTGATAGAGCTTATCATCAGGTCGTTGAATGTCAGTATCACATCAGTCAGTATTGTGCTACCTGTTGCACTTCTGACTACACAACATCTGGTTTATAACTGCCGTTAGTGTTGGACACCAACTACAGATAACATGTGCATTTTGGTACTTTCCTTTAAAATCAGAGTGATCGGAAGAATTGTTGGTCTCTGTTTTGGCTTTCCTTCATCAGTTGTACATGCACACCGTTTATGTGATCTCCGCATCTGTGCCTTTACCTTTGACCGTGCTCCTACTGAGGCGGAAACTCAGTCCGCCCGGCGCCAACGTGGACCGTGAATTTAGTAATCTTCAATCTATTGAGTAGGCAGGCATGGTGTGATGGACTAAGACCGTGATTGAGAAACGGAGTATACCAGATTCAAGTCCTGCCTGACGGCGGAAAGGTTTTTTCAGCTGTGGTGCGACCCACAGTGTATTGGGCACACGTGGTCAGGCACGTGGGAAATGCTGGATGCAGGGAATGCGATGTTCGGTCTTTGGCTCGCTTGCTTGTGCGTCATCTACTCCTCTCCTACCGTTTTATGAGCTGCATCTGCGCCTTTGATCTTTGCAATGCGTAGGCGTTCCTACAGATGCTGAGAACTCCGTCTAACTGGGTCTCGGACGGGACCGTGAATTTTTGTCAAAATCTCGTTTTTGAGCCCTAGAGAGATGAAATTATATTTTTTAATGATCTGCATGATTGTGATGGTCATGTGATTTGCATGTGATCATCATGTGATCAACATCATGTGACCATCATGTGATCATCATCATGTTTTTGGAGGCCTTACCCCATCAGTGGACTGTCTACGGTAGGACAGCACAAAGGCAAGGGTGGCAGCAGCCAGTGCCAGAGCGCAGGAGACCCAAGACAGGATGTACATGTCGGACAGTTCCGCAGGGTCTCCCTTGAAGTCCTGCCTGTAATGGACTGTGAAGCTAATGGCACATAGTCCCAACACGATCCCTGCAATAGACCACAAAGGCAACCAAGAATGCTATACTCATCCTGCACTTGCATTATCAAGAAATCTCCACGTACAGTACGTATTCCCTAAGACTACGTTCATGCAGGATACCAATGTGGATGCCATAACCGGGCAACTACTCCACTGAAGACGAAACATCTAGACACAAGGACACAAAAATCCGTTGCACAGAACTGGATTGATACAGGCACCCAACGGGCAGGTTTGCAAAAGTGAAGAGTGTGCCTTAAAAAGAATGAATATAACCCACGATGATTCGCATTCTACGTTTGTACTTCGAGTATACATGTACACCTTGTCCATTTCTGGAGTGTCTCTGTTCTTGGTCACAATGACTGGAGCATAGAACCTCCTTCCTTGAATTGAAATTGGGTGCAAAGGTGCAGCTGGTTGGGAGCTACCTTTGCTTCCAAACACAATAATTGTTCTAATCGAGTAAGGCGCCTTGAGTGTCGGGCAAGATACGCCATAGAAATGTAATTTGTGTCACTAATCATATTACGTAATGCTATACCTGTAAGGCCAAAGCCCACACAAGGGGAGTAGACGACACAGGTCTTCGCGTTGTGGGGCCAACTTATCGGCAACGCAGCCAAAACTAGCAGGATTAAAGTCAGGCCGGCTGCAATGGCGCCCAGCACACCAAACGCCTGCGAACTTCTCAGAGAGGCTGGAGACGAGCAAGTACAGCAAAACGAAATTAATAACATTCATACTCAGTAAGGGCGCTGTAAACCATAGCGGCTTAGCGCGTGTTAGCGGCCGTCGTGAGTTCCCTTTGAGAACGAACACGATAATTTACTCTCTTTTTTAGGACGCTGTTTGTAATCATTGCATTAGAGCGTTCATTAAAAAATCTCACTCCCAGTCGTCTAGTGTCACCATCGTGTAGCCATTGTTACGCTAAAAGCAACCACATTTTTCTGGCCACTTTTACTAAAAAAAGTAAAAAGTGAAACAATTACAAAGCAAGAAGTTAGAAAAGCGACAAGGTTACCTACAAACAAATAATTCGAATTGCAATTGTGGATTTTGCATTCAGCAAAGACTATTAAGGTATGACCGTCACATTATGTTGGAGGGTTTTGGGTATCGTACAGGTGTCGGAATCGGAGCTTGGATATCTGCCGTTCTTTGTCAACACAGTACATGTACTATTTACTTTCTTTCACTGCCATGTTTAGTGATACTATCCCCTTTGGTGTTCCAATTCATGTACTTGAAGCTTGCATTGATTCTAGCGAGTTTGATGAGCTACTGTTTCCGAGAGTTTAGATCATGGCTTGCAGAAATATTTTGCCCACATATGAGAATCTACATGCATATCTTGGCCAATATTTCCGAGATGTTGCCAAGGGACGCAACCAATTTACTTACACGCAAGCTCGACAAGGTCATTTTCTGCGTAGCCAAAGCAACGATGGGTCCTTTGATCACTGGTGCAGACCTTCCACAGTCCGTATTCGGTATGCTGCCTGATGTGGGTGAAAGGAGGTGGAAATTCCAGTGTGCGCGCAATCCACTTGGGATCAACTGAATACAAAACAGAACAGAATATTGCCATTCTCCGTCGAGATCGACAACTAATATATGGAAGAGATGGCACTAGTTCACCACTATACCATGTAACCATGACCATAATCATAATGACGCTTACTTCATTTTAGCATTATGGAATTTATAGTGGATGTGCAACGCAATCGTTGCATTTCTTACTACCAAACGCACTTCAGATCATGAATATCTCACTTTCTTTCAAGGCATAAGTATAACGCAACGGATATGCATGTACACGTACATGTACATGTACATGTAGAGCGTGAAAGTATTGAAGGTTCATGTAATGGGAAATTTGAGGAGAGAAAGGCAGATACATGTGCATGGAGATAGTGATTGGTAAATCACTAACGGGGTACAGGGTGAAGGCAAAGGAGTACTGGGCATGGGAAAGCATACATGTACATGTACAGTGGAGGTCACATCTGTAACACGCGTAGTTTTCCTCACTGTTTATTTCTATTGCATGATTTGCATCAGGAGATCCCCTCGACAGGCCATCGCCTCTGGGAGATCCTTTCATAAATAAAGATTATCTGTATAGCTATTACCGGTATTTATTTTTCACCAGTAGACCCCATTTGGGGTCGGCTTTTTATGAGTAGTACTATTATGGTGTAATGCGATTGGCTTCGTGAATATACCCGTTCTCACGTACACCGAATAACTACTGTGTAGAAAGACATTATAATTATTGCCTTCACCAGATAAGTTTTGCTATTTCCGGACTCGGCTTGATCGGTCCCAGATGAATTACCGAATCTGTCCGATTATCGCCGAAATCGCTAGCACTTCGTTTTCTCGTTATATCACGGCATTACCTGAGCGCCGAGGGTTCTCCATAAGCGCTACCGATACCAACAGTTTTCGTTTTTGGCTTAATATGCTTCACGCATATTGGTAAAATCCTGCGCATTGCACGGACGTGCCCCAATAGAAGCTTTACAGTACTAGTAATAAGTAATAATTATTATTGTGGTACCGAATTCCGCTAGCCTGACGACGTACATTGTAGCTGCTGTGTGGGCCTTTACTAGCTTTAGGGTGCTTACGGCACAAGGTGCATGAGTGCTTTGCTGTCTTGCCAATAATAGCACGGTGCCCTACCAGCTAAGAACAGAACATGATATGGCCGTGAGGTACGCGGCTTAGAGGAGTCTCTTCACCCTGTGGCTCACGGGGTTACAAAATCTAAATCAGAAATCCAGCCACATTTTTGTACATTCCAGAACTAACCTTACTTGCACAATGGAGATAGGGAATGAAAGCAGTGAATCGAGGCTCGTCTATTCAGTAAGGAAATCACTGGGGAGCCAAGAGGGCTCTTTGAGTTTTCTTCCTAAAGCGATCGCTTCTCAAGCGTGCTCAGCTTAGCAATAACCTTAGTTGAGGCGTGCGGGTCCTGAGGTGTTTCAGGTATTTTCGTTTTAGAATTGCATGTACAATGTACAATGTACATGTTTATGGCTCGTCTCTCCTATGAAGTACACTACTTAGGCGCAGCTGTCCTATAATAGTGCAGCCTGGTATCCATGTGGAGCATAGAGAGTTTTATGTAACACCTGACATTGAAACGTATCGATATCTGTTGAGTTCCGTGAAGTTCTTGCAGGACGAAATAGCTGTGTAGAGTGTCAAGCACTAGTCCTTACAAAGACATGGCCATACAAATTGCTTTCAGAGTGAGTGTAAAAACGGGTGTCAACGGAATCGTATTATTCTTGATAGAAATTGTTGTGCACTACCCAATCTAATGTCGCCAAGTTACAAAAACTCATTCTTGCACTGACTCCGGAAGCGAGCGTACATAAGACACATACATACATGTATATCGCTACATACTGTGCCATTGCAGGGTTCCCACTCACCGTTGATCACAATAGACATGGCGACAATACCGAGAGCCACAAAGGCAAGAGCGACCGTGAATACGATACTCCTTGTCATCATGCTAGTTGCACTAGTACTAAGTATGGAAAATGGCAATGTTCAATATTATTATAGTGTCTTTCCCTCACACCAGTTCAGTTCAATAGCAACGGAAATAAAATAGACTACTCAGCTACCTGGAAATTCTCATAACCGTGCACGAAACTGCTCTTCTTGTACGTTATCCTCTTTCGCCTTTAGTGCTCGGCCAAAATATACAGGCCTATTATAACACCTTCTTCCACTGCTAGTGCTGAAAGTCTCCCGACGATAGCGTATTGTATGGCGATGATATGGAATAGATTTACGCGAAACCGACTGATATCCAGCGAGCTGGAGGTGCATGCTGTCCAGCACGGTGCACCGTGCGGTTTGGCCATGTGTCTCTGGCCCTAGCCCACTGGTGGCGAAGGGGTAGTAGGACTGATCTCGCCATGTAGAAGGTCCTGTCCATACACATTACTCACGCATTGAGAAAGTAGCGGCGTTATTGATGTTACGGGATAGTCTATTTCTAGGCAGCTGGCTTGCTGGTACTAGGCATCAGGAGCCATATTGATACATGACTGTATCTTCCAAGTGACTTCAAGACGGTGGTTGAGGAACAGCGCCATTCTTCAAAGATTTACACCGGGATGCGTGCCGTTTTCACAGAATCCACACCAGTGAATATGTTGACTTGAGCTAAACTTGTTTGGCCCATCGCCCGACGGCCGTGACCTGAATCATGTGAATCATTTCCCGTATACAGTGAAACCTGTCGAAGACGACCGCTCAAGGTACCTTGAAAGTGTGGTCTGTGTACCCAGGTGGTCTCCTTATCCAAGGTCATTTGACTGGAAATAGCTTCCCTTGGTCCTGGCTGCAGTGGTCATCTGGAACAGGTGGTCGCCTTATCCGAGTGGTCGCCTTGACAGGTTTTACTGTACTCTAAATGAAGTGCACCAGGCAGGCACAGTGGGTTGGTCAAAGACCATGATTGAGATACGAGCGGTACCTGGTTCAAGTCCTGCCTGGGAGCGGTTTTTCCAGCCGTGCTGCTACCCACAGTCAGCTGGGAACTTGTGGCCAGGCACAAGGGGTACATGGATGCAGCTAATGGGGTCATTCTCGGCACTTGTGCCAGTGGTTGCGAGACTTATCCACTCACCCCCACCGTTAGGCGCTGCATCTGCCGCTAGGGTTTACCGGGTGTTAGCGGCCGTCGTGAGTTCCCTTCGGGAACGGACACGATAATTTTGTTATTGTTTTTTTTAAGTGAAGTGCATGTACACGTACATGTAATTCGGGCTCTCTGTGTGAAACTCTGAGTTATAGCCAGATAGATTTATACTATAACATACTAGGATCTGCACCCAACAGAGCACTTCCTCAAGCTGCCACGACATGCTTCAAGTGTGACGCCCAATTCTTTGATTACCACAATCACATACAGCGACACCAAAATGGGCAAGAAAAGCCGCATAAATTTGATCAGTATGAGATTGGAAACTGTAATCGCGATTGGTTGATGGGAACTGTATGGAGATAAGAAAACTCTCTCCTCTTCACCTTCTAAACCAAATTGTAAGCTCAGTCTGAGTCAGAGAAGGACAGTTTTTAGCTTAGCCCTTTCACTGCTGCAGGGGTGTGTATGTTGCATACTAGTACTCAAAAAGCCGAACTAGGGCCAGTGACTAACTACTTCAGAAACGTGATGGACTGAATACGTATAAGTATTCATTGTCGACATGTAAATTGGTACGGTGGTAATTGTGGTATTCAAGGATAGAACGGAAGGAGTAGTTATTAAGTGACCCGTGATGCTTGCTCTGCGTTAGAAGAAGAAAACGACCGTCTACAGCTGAAATATCATAATTCAGAAGCAATTTTGCATGCATCCGAGCAGATTAGCATCGATTCTAATAATTATAATATAAGAGATTGAGTGGAGTATTGAGGCGTTGCTTGAGCGGCACAAGGCTATTGACCACATGAATTTCGGAACGGAAGACAATGACAACAACCAAGTCGAAGACCGACTGATAAGCGTCAATCAAGACGATCACAATTCGGGTTACGTCATTACTATACACTGACGTGTAACTCATTGGTTGACATAATAACTACGGGCTCATTACATAGCATAAGCAACGGTATCATTCATATCAAATCAGGGGAGAACCCAAGTGCTGGAAGTGAATGCACTGCCGCTTGCCGCAACCGTTGGTGAATGCGTTAAAAACAAAACAAAAAAATCAGAAATCCTGAAATTTCGGAACATCTCTAGGTTTCGTATCAAGTTTGGAAAGTATGATAAAATGAAGTAAATGCTTGTTTTTGTGCACACCAGATGATCAATGGGCAGTACTACATCAAGAACACGAACAGAACATCAGGGCCATCTTTCAAACAGGCAAGTTTTCCAATCGTTCTGGGCTGAAATCCTGCATGGGAAGACATTAGGAAACAGCAAAAAATAATGTAAACTGTGGAACTCACTTTGCACATACAGTAAAACTTGAAACTACAGACCACCCTGACTAGCAACCAGCCTGGAACTACAGACCACCATGACTAGTGACCAGCCTGCTACTACAGACCACCATGACTAGCGACCAGCCTGCTACTACAGACCACCGTGACCAGCCTGGCACTACAGACCACCGTGACTAGCCACCAGCCTGGCACTACAGACCACCATGACTAGCGACCAGCCTGGCACTACAGACCACCCTGACTAGCGACCAGCCTGGCACTACAGACCACCGTGACTAGCGACCAGCCTGGCACTACAGACCACCATGACTAGTGACCAGCCTGGCACTACAGACCACCGTGACTAGCGACCAGCCTGGCACTACAGACCACCGTGACTAGCGACCAGCCTGGCACTACAGACCACCGTGACTAGCCACCAGCCTGGCACTACAGACCACCATGACTAGCGACCAGCCTGGCACTACAGACCACCGTGACTAGCGACCAGCCTGGCACTACAGACCACCGTGACTAGCGACCAGCCTGGCACTACAGACCACCATGACTAGTGACCAGCCTGGCACTACAGACCACCGTGACTAGCGACCAGCCTGGCACTACAGACCACCATGACTAGCGACCAGCCTGGCACTACAGACCACCATGACTAGCGACCAGCCTGGCACTACAGACCACCCTGACTAGCGACCAGCCTGGCACTACAGACCACCTTGACTAGCGACCAGCCTGGCACTACAGACCACCATGACTAGCGACCAGCCTGGCACTACAGACCACTGTGACTAGCGACCAGCCTGGCACTACAGACCACCGTGACTAGCGACCAGCCTGCTACTACAGACCACCGTGACTAGCGACCAGCCTGGCACTACAGACCACCATGACTAGCGACCAGCCTGGCACTACAGACCACCATGACTAGCGACCAGCCTGGTACTACAGACTTCTTCTCCAGGTATGGACGGTCTCACAGTTATATAATGTTGTGTGGTGCGAACCTCTAACTAAGGACCACATGCCACTGAAGACCGCTTTCTCTGGCCCCGAGGGTGGCCGTTAGTCACAGGTTTTACTGTGCTTTGATAAAAAATGCTATCATTTTGATTCGAACAAGCACTGACCAGGGCACAGTCGCGTGAATCCAAAATGAGGAATATTGGTGTAAGAAGTACTGCGGATAGCAATTACCACGTTCACTTTCCTCCTGCCCATACAAATATCTCTAACAAGAGATTCACGGTTACTTCCAAATGCAAGACATGCATACAATCATCACGTGTAATCAAGGTCCTTGGCATGTTCAGATCCCAACTTCCAAGTTGGGAAAACTCTGAGCAGTCTGCGTGGAAAAAAAAGTGTTGAGGTCCCAACTTGCACGTTAATTCCATCTATTCCCATAGATACCGTAAAGTCGCGGATAAAAGCCGGGTTTGAATACAAGCACATTGCGGATAGAAGCCTGAAAATCAAACGGGTCAAATGCATATAAGCCCGCGCGTAGAAGCCTGGCTTCTATGCAAGCGCGGATCGGGTAGGTCAAGAGTGCATGCGCTATGTGCCATGATGTACGCTGGATAGTAAAACTGCCGCCATAACGGTAGTCAGTGGTAGATCTACGCGTGTCGCACGTAGAAGCGTGCATACAAGCCTGGCAAAAAATATCAGTGGTGCATATAAGCATGGCTTGCATACAAGCCTGGTTTGCATTAAAGCCTGATGCAAAAAAGCGGCTTATGTGCTTAAAAGCCCAGCTTTTATCCGCGACTTTACGGTATGTCAAAGGTATGCAAAGTGCATTTTTAAAGAACTCAGATGGTGAGTCAAGGAAAATCGATCGCATAACTTGTGTCCACAATTTCAGTGTATGCAAAATGACTTAGTATGTGCAGCCAAGCCAGGGGCCACATTGCCTTTTTGCCAAAAGTGGTGCTCTATCCACTTTGGTAGCGAATGTCTACTCTAAAAATTGTCGATCTGAGGTAGTAGTACTTGTACCGATATCGTGACCTTGACGTGTGTGATTGTTTGTGCATGGCTGTGTGCATGAAAGATCAGCCGCTCAAAACTATTTTTTTCTGAAGAATATTCTATATTCATTCGATAAGTAAAGTATTCGTTCGTGAAGCTTATAAAGTATTGTTAGCAACACTAGTATAGATGGTGTGGCACAAGGGCAGAGGGCAGGCAGCCAGCAGCCGGTCGCATGCACCGCGGGAGAAGAAATCGCCGTGCTCAGCTAGTGTGTGATCGTGCTGGCACGAACTACGGGACTGATAACACGCCAGTCCTGTGTGCATACCTCGTTCAGAAATACGTCCACTGCGGTGTGACTCCCGTATAATACTATATACCTCCAATAATTACATAACCATTGACTTGCAACAAGAATAAGAGGATTAAAAAAGTGTTTTTACTCCGAGTGTCACGCACCAAGCAGCCATGAGAATCCAGTTTTCTTATGATCACTTAGCGCGTGAAACTCCGAGTACTATACTCTTTTCATCCTCTTATTCTTGTCGGAACTAGCTCTGCATTTCGGTATTGAGCACTAATCTATTGGAGAGCCTGGAATCTCTCTGTTTCAACCTTAGACTTGTCAAATGTATTATTGAAACTGATCGAAATGTCTTTGCAAGACATATAACGGTTACATCCTCTTGTATTGCTAGGCGTTTCGATCAGTTTGAATGTCACCTGTCGTGATCTACGTGAAGATCATGCAATGTCAAGGCCCTGAGCTCTCTCAATTCATGTCATGTGTAAGAGGTGAATGTGGACGTGGGGGGTGGGGGGTGGGGGGGGGGGGGGGCAGAATTGTACAGGACAGGCATACACTGTGATCCAAAACTCGTGTGAGTGGCCAAGCACACAGGACGGTCACCCACGCTGCCTCTTTCTCTTACACGGCACGCACAGAGATCGTACGCCCTGTACAATACTGTCAAATGTATTGTAAATGCAGAATACAAATTCCTCAGCAAATTATTGTGTCCAGCTACCGTAAAGTACCGTTGATCCGCCCCCCCCCCCCCCCACACGCCGTGTCGCTTCCCGGCTGGGTTGTCGGCAGGCGGCGGGAATTAGATCAAGGCTGTCAAGTGCAGTACGATCTACAATGTAGAAGTTCAGACTCGATGTGCTGGATTGTGCACATTTTCATGCTGGATTGGTAAATACTGTGTACAGCAGTGCATGCGTCGGTTCAACATCGTATTTTCGTTGTATACACCGAAGTCGCTTCACAGGTAGAAAATTGAAAGGGGGCGGGAATTAGAGAGGGGGCAGACCAACGGTACTTTCCGGTACAAGTTTGCCAGGTGGAAGTGTTTAAAGGGGAAGTTAAGGCAAAAATTAAAATTTCACCAGTTGTAGTCTTCGGGGTACTGAGTCGAATGGTCTTGGTCCGAGAAAGCTGAGACACTCCCTTCCTACTTGAATCCCAATCGAACTCGCGCACTTCCACCGAAACTGGGTGACTGCGCCCTACGAGATGGGGATTTGTATGCAAAATGTCACTAAAAGCGCCATTTCGTTCTTATAAAAGCACGGATGACCGCGATTGGCCCATATGTTGTAGTCTTTTGGACGCTGAGTCGACTGGTTTTGGTCCAAAAAGGCTGCGATGCAGCGTTCGCCCCTAATTCCCAATCGAACATGGTTGAACAAGCGGTCACGTGCTCCTGCGTACACCAGTCACCTGGTCACCGTGCCTGCAGGGTACAACTTACAGCCTGTTTTGACCTTTTTTGTGTGCAGTCCTGTCACTCGAGTTGAACCTTGGTGTGAAAGTTGTCGCCTGCTGGCGTGGTGACCAGGTGATTTTGGCACCCAGGAGCACGTGACCGCTTGTTCAACCATGTTCGATTGGGAATAAAGGAGGAACGCTGCATCGCAGCCTTTTCGGACCAAAACCAGTCGACTCAGCGTCCAAAAGACTACAACATATGGGCCAATCGCGGTCATCCGTGCTTTTATAAGAACGAAATGGCGCTTTTAGTGACATTTTGCATACAAATCCCCATCTAGTAGGGCGCAGTCACCCAGTTTCGGTGGAAGTGCGCGAGTTCGATTGGGATTCAAGTAGGAAGGGAGCGTCTCAGCTTCCTCGGACCAAGACCATTCGACTCAGCACCCCGAAGACTACAACTGGTGAAATTTTAATTTTTGCCTTAACTTCCCCTTTAACTGAGGTGCTTCAAAGATGTTAGATATTCAGTAATTTTTGATCTTCTCTTTCACCAAAAATTGATCTATTATAACATTTGGCTATGGAAGGAAGATTAAATCAGTCAGATACAATAATATAAAGTAGACGCACAATTACCTGCATTTGATCCAGCGGACTGTGATGGACGTGCGCTATAGCGGCCGTCAGCAGGGCCGTAACCATGGTGAACCAGCATAGAACGTACATAGCGCTGAGCTTGCCTACGTCGGCGTAGCTCTCCCGGTAGTGCAACGTGAATGCGCCCGCACACAACACCTGCGAGAAACCTGAGGTGGAGAAAACACACAAGAAGCCAGATTTTGCCAAGAGCAAAGATTAAAAAAATGATTGTAAATCACCACAGCACAGCTTACCACATTCTTCCGAAAATACATATCGATAGCTGACGATCCGTACAGCTCATTGAGGCTAAGGCGGGCGTTATAGATCTGTAGTTTCAAAAGATCACACATGATGATGATGCGGGTCGGTGGGTGCTCTGTGTGTGTGTGTGTGTGTGTGTGTGTGTGTGTGTGTGTGTGTGTGTGTGTGTGCGTGTGTGTGCGTGTGTGTGTGTTGGGGAGGGTTAACTGAAGACTTCTTGTTCCAATGTGCTAAACATGCTGTAAGACTTACTCATCAATTCAACAATCGGAGAATGTACTTAGTTGCAAAACGCCACACTCTTTATCGCAACAATATCTGAGGAGCTACGAAGTCGGACTCCAGAGTCAAACACCATGAAGCTACGTGTTATCAAACTGGTGGAAGTATAATAATGTGTTACTATGGATGCCTCACCAGTGAAGATCAGTAATACTCGTGGAGTGACCAAGCACGGCCGCACGAGTAGGCAGTGCATGTGCAGTTCGAGCAGTACAGATGCGATTGCTGCCGTCCCTGCCAATAGCACGCCGATCACTGCGAATGCCTGAGATGCCCGCAGAGTGTCTATAATAATGATACAAACATCGGCAAAAAAACGGCAAGTGTGTAGCTCATGATGCCTTACAGTACTGTCAATGTACTACACCATACGAACAAGAAATCATTCAAACACAGAGCATAGTAGCACAACCAAGGAATCTCGAATAAACGCTGTCAAATATGAACTTTTGGAACGTGTTTCAAAATTTGGTATTTAATCCAGAACTTGAGTTGCTCAGCAACTGCCAAAGTGCGTTCAAAGTGTGAAACCTCACTCAGACTACGGATACACTTCAACCCTCATCAACCCCTGAAGCTTGGCAAGCTGAACCAGTCATGATTCGCCGACGAAGACCATTAATTCCTTTCCTCATTTCTTACTGAGGTGGCGCACCATTGTGAACGTGATGAGGGCGATTTTGTCGAAGCATTGTAAAATCACGTTTTTGCCATGCGAACAATCAAACTCCACACTTTCCCTGTTTTACAAAACAAACTTTCCAGGAACAAACATCTAGATGTCACATCAGTGCCAATATAAATCAGGCTGACAGAGGTGGGCAAGGCGAAATCTTGTGCTTGCATTGCAAAGATTGCAGGCAAGCTACATAATGAAGGCAGCCCACCACGTATACAGACCAGTGATCATACATGTACTCTTGTACACTCCTCGTTACGAGCTCTGGTTCTTACTGGATAGGTCATCAAGGCCGACTGTATCTGAATAGCGGCTGCAACTCCTGGAATGGTTGGCGCGTACGCACACTTTCCATAGTCCGAAGTCTGCGTGGCCATCACCGATTTCCGGATCTTTCAAATCCACCGAAATCCATTTCGGACTGACTGGGAACAAATTAAAAAAGGGCAAAGAAAAGAGAAACAGTAGCAAGCAACGAATTCAGTGCAGATGAGGTAGAGATTTTATGGTCAGTTTTCGCCCTAGCATTATCCCCTCAGTACAACACTGTACTGCCATGTTTTTGGACCTGTCCCAGTGAGATTTCGCGCCCTGGTAATCAATCCACCTGGTGTATGTTCTATGTCTCGTTGACAGGATGCAACTTGATCTCAGCCTGGGACAAAACACTCACTAGATCAATGCGATGAGTTTGAGCAAGAGGTGAGATAACACAGTGCATCCATGAATGCTGACATTGCTTTTCATACTATAGCCGGTGGCAATGCGGATGTGCGGACTTTTCCTTTTTTCCCAGACTCTAGATACCATTGGTTATTTTGTGCTGGTACTCGCACCTTTTTTTGTGATACACAGTGACTTGAACTACAACAGCGACGTAACAATATGCAATGTGTACTCGCTCACGGGATTATGAAGTTACTACGCCCGTGGCATTTGCACCCGAGGATTAGTGTAGAGGTGACTTACGATTGATTGCCACTGAGAACACCACTGTGGCCGCCAGGAGAATGGACAGCAGGACCAGTCGCGGGATATTTCGCTCCATCTTTTGCTGTTTCCCTTTCCAGATCGAATCGACTCTATGCTGATTGAAGTGCTCTCTGCGTGGGTGACCACTGGAGTCGTTTCCAAATCCTTTATCTCTCACCTGGGGACAAATGACATTGACAGAAGATAGCGGTAGAAAGTGCGTTTCCGTTGGGCCACGCTGCAGGCTGCGAGCGCTAAGACTAAGAGCACGATTCCATGTTTTGCAAAACACATGGAGATGCACACAGAGTCGAGTCGTAGGGAGTCAGTTTTTATTTTAGCGTTGACTGTTGGCCCACTTACAGCAACACTCAGCCTTCCAAACGCAACAGCTCATGGATGATCGAGTCGCGTGGTCCGAGGTACTTGTGGATCTACACGGTCTGTACTCCAGTGTAGGCTAGGTGTGATCAGCTGATAATCGCCAACCTTGATCATGATGACTGTGTTGATCTAAACTGACACGGCCGTACACTTGTAAAATCATGTGACCCTTTTGACGTCCGGATGGAATGACGTGTGGGTATTACATGTAACGACGTACTACACTGTAGTAGGCATATCTGCGCAGTGTGCATGCATTGCATCAACGTAATCGACTAATCCGGTTCACGACTCTCGACTCGAGCCTAGTCGAGGCCCAGCCTAGCGCCTGGACTGGAGTGGAAGCTCGAGGGTACTGGTAGATACATGTAGGTATGTGTATTGTGTACACTAGTACAGTACTACTACATGTACAGTAGCTCGGGCTGCTCGCTGTGCATGCTTGGCCTGTCCGAAAACGTTTTTCCAACAATTTTTTCTTCTTTCATTTTTGGGCTATTTAAAAAAAAATACTATTTTGGCATTTTTCAAGTTTTTGCGCATTTTTCCAATTTTTGTAAGTGTAATGGGTAGCCGAGTGGTAGGCGCGGTGCAATTAACAATAATTACTTTTATTCTACTTTCAGGTACACACCTGAGATATAATCGTTCGTGAAAGAAGGAACGGCAAAATAACTGACTTTCTCTCCGGTGCTCACCTGGAGGTTGAATAGCTCGTTATCAAAATCTCATCTTCATCTAAACAGAAATGCGCAGCCGCTTATATGCAGCAGACGCCGTACGCTTACATACGGAGATACACTAGGCAAAGCTCCGTATTAGTTCCGTACTGCTTCCGTATTGGTCGGGCAGGGATACTACACCCTCCCTTCCTACAGATAATCACGCCCTCGTGATTTTCAAAAAATTAGTGAAGAGTTACGAACACAGCGTCAACCGGAAGATGGCAAATTATATCGGAAATGATAACGTTTAGAGTAGACAGAAGAAATGAACTAATAACAAATCATAAAGTAGAAGCACACCAGGTTCACACGGTCTCACGGGGTCAAAAGGGGAAAGAACTGTCCTCCAAATAGGACCTGAAGCCACAGCACTCTTGCTGCACAACGCTGGCACAACCCGCCAGGAACATCGCAGTTCAAAAACCGAACTGAATACACTATAACTATAAGGGGCGTTGTCACACACATTGTCCCACGTTAGCTGGGTAAGCCGTGGCTCACCATGATCAGACGCCTACCAAACTAAACTGGATTCACACACTCGCATAAAGGAAGACTGAAGAGAACAGGGAGACTGAAGGAAGACAGGAAAGAAAATGCCATACCTGGAATCAGCGTTAGTAACCACGGCGGCGGCTGGAGCTATGGCGGAGGGCAAGCCAGGTTTTATCTTCATCTTGGTTGAGCCGGTCACTCAGAGCGGCTAGCTCGGGGTCAGACAAATGACCTCCCTCATCGTCTTGAATCATGGTCTTCACATTGTCGAGAACATCGCTTTGCGCGACGTAAAGAGTGATGGTCTAGCCAGGAAGAGTGTTGACGAAAATCTGCATCCCACCACGGAGGCGAAGTACCAAGTGAAGAGTGGGCTCCTGCTTCCGACTGCGGGCCGGCGAAAATCAAACGCTGCTGGTCTTGGGGAATA